TAAAAGAAATCCAGAAGAAAATTCTATGAAAAGATTCGACAATGATTCTGGGTCAAAGGACGGTTCATTTTGTTTTTAAAACGCTTGACTGAGGACTAAATAGTTTTGTAAGGTTTCGGGAAAAATTAAATAGATTTATTAGTAGTTAAAACCAATAGTAAAAGAGAACAGCGCTGTAGTGTTCTACGTTGGGTTCTCTATTTGATATATTTTTTTGAAAGAGTGTTGGATGTATGAAGAATTCGGGAACTGCAAATAACTGAAAAAAAAAAAAATCAAGTAAAGGAATTATAACTAAAAAATAATAAAGTAAAGGAATTATAACAAGAAAATTTGATAAATTGATGACGGAAATTGTAATCTGACTTTGGACGGGTTTTGGGAGCGAGGGATATTTGTAATAACTGATTCATTTAATCAGCTGTTTACCTCCAGTTTTTGGGGAATAACATAGTTCAAAAAACAAGAGAATAGCAAAACAACGGTTTGTTTTTTTCAATACGTAGCCGTCTTGTTTTGTTTTTCTTTGCCATTAAAAATTCTGTGTGAAAATTATGTTTTTGTAAAATTCCTTTCCCGCCACTAACATAAAGAAAAAGAATAAATAAAGAAATCGCGATAAATTCGGACTAAATAGAAGAAAAAGCTTTCTGACAAGAAATATATAAATGTTACTGAGAAGGATTAACAGAGAGAGATAATGAACAAACGATAAAAAACACCAAGAATAAAAAACACAACCAACAACTATCAAGAGAAAAATATATAAAGGATAACAAACAAGAAAAAATATCAAGGCTATTCTTTTATAAATAAAACAAAATAAAATAAAACAAAAAGGCTCAGATAGCAAACACATTACAATTTTCTGGTAAGATAAGAAATATTTACAATTATTCTTAAGATATGTATATTTGCATAATGTGTGCAATTTCTCTTCTTTTCAACTTATGTGAATACTGTCTTACTATATAGGAAAAGAAAATTGATAGCATTTATTCCAACTTGCTCGTTTCTACGGAATATTTGTGCAATATTTCTTTTAAAACAAAAATAAGATAACTGTACAGCACACACACATAAACACACATTTATGTATATATACTTATATTCATATCTATATAGACACACACACACACATATATATATACATATATGTATATATATAAACACATACATATATATGTATACATATATTCATATATATGTATCTATAAATATATGCACACACACACACACACACACACACACACACGTAATAACTTCGTATAGCATACATTATACGAAGTTATACTATGTGTGTGTGTGTGTGTGTGTGTGTGTATATATATATATATATATATATTACGTAATAACTTCGTATAGCATACATTATACGAAGATATACGATGTGTGTGTGTGTGTGTGTGTGTGTGTGCATATATTTATAGATACATATATATGAATATATGTATACATATATATGTATGTGTTTATATATATACATATATGTATATATATAAACACATACATATATATGTATACATATATTCATATATATGTATCTATAAATATATGCACACACACACACACACACACACACACACGTAATAACTTCGTATAGCATACATTATACGAAGTTATACTATGTGTGTGTGTGTGTGTGTGTGTGTGTATATATATATATATATATATATTACGTAATAACTTCGTATAGCATACATTATACGAAGATATACGATGTGTGTGTGTGTGTGTGTGTGTGTGTGTGTGTGTGTGTGTATATATATATATATATATATATATATACATATACATACATATATATATAGAGATACACACAAACACACATATACAAACAGAGACACACATGCAGATATCGATTTATTTACCGTTTATTTCCTTACATAATTACAGGTGCGCCCGTACCCATACCCATGAACACTCGCGAAAATAATGAACGCATGCACATACTTATATGTATTACTGTACTAATGGTGGGGATGGCAATAACGAAGAAAATTTATAAAAACAAAAGCAATAGTGTTGACATCGCGAGGTCTCCATCAGCTGATGTGCTTCCGCCTGTTAGCACGTGCAAGCAAGACCTAACAGCTGATCCTGGAGTACAGCGCCATCAAAACATAAACGGCAACTCAAGAAAATAGTTGCGAACAATTGCAAAATATATGAAAATCGCATCTAACAATCAGGTTAGTGCCTTAAAAATCCTAGGTTACTTAGTAGGTTATCGGCTCCGCATCTAGTTCGTGTACGCTCTATCCTGCCGTGACTATGTGGTGGATGCTTTGTTTCCTAGGCGGGGGTTGGGCAAGTAATGGGAATTATCATCGTTATTTCCATTGTGGGCTATATTATTAGTTTTACCTAACCCCGCATTTTCCCTGGAACCTTTCATGCCCTCCCCTGCTACCGGGCCAAGTTTGTCGCTAACGGGGGGTTTCCGCGCAATAAAACCTACATATTTGCATTGTATAGCGTGAGAGGAATCCAACGATACCAAAATCGTCGATGTCCGATCGACGAACGTAATATAGAAAATCACCTCTCTTAATTAATTTTCTATACATTTTTTTCTAGTTATAATAGCACTGATTATATTGATTTTATTAGCGTTATTACACTTCCCTTATTTCTGTTCGATGCCCACAGAAATTATAAGTCCCCCCTATATATTGAATTTTCTATAGATGAAATAGGTCTTCGTTTTCTTTGAATACTGCAATTTAAGGGTAAACTTCTTTCTGTATAACGGTTATCCAGAACACCTGAATATCGGGTACAGGTTTCAAGTAACTGAGCGTCAAGGATTGCGATGATAGTGGTGAGGATGGCTTCCTCTCAGTCTTTACTATTGATATACATGGAAGCACCCAAGCCCCTCGATCTTGGACTACGATAACTGGGGAAGGTGTGGTGGATATCAGGGAAATTGCGGGAACCTGGAGAGAGGCAGCTGACCGCACCTATATCTGGACCTCTCCCTGTGCAGTAACGTAGCATAGCTCAAGGAGAACCTCATGGCTACCACACTACCCCAGGATTTAGTCACAGGTCGACAACTCGCCCTCTACCATCTCATAGACGCGCTGATGTGGGGCTACTGGCAGACTCCTAATTCGGGAAGGGACACTCGTACGACCTCTTGTTCTGTCCCCTCAAGAGATGGCGCTGCACGCAGAGACCGTTATTTTTTGTAGGGATTTACGTTTGTGTTCTGCTGCTTTCACTGAGTGTACGACGAGAATGTATTGCGTCATAATGTTCCCGTGACCCACATGTGCTAGCAGTGTGTATGGGCGCTATATTATACAATACCCTCTCGAGTATCCCCGGTCCTACGCTCCACTCTGACGTGCATATGTTGAAGATCTTTCAGGGTGGGGGTTGGGGTTCCAGTTGCCCTGAAGGAAGGTATGTCGACTTCCTCGCATTTGCATACAGCTGATTTCTATTCACATTTTACCTCGCAGTTTCCCTGGTCTACCTCATGCCTTCCTCATGCGCCAAAGTTATGTGGAATGGGATGTGCACTTGTGTGTCTGCACAATTATTCCAATATGTGTGAAAACCTCCACAAGAAGACTCAGTCGGTACCACCGTCGCCGTAATTAGTATTTATATATAACCAGTGACTGCGGACTTTAAGGTATAAGTCAATATGTATTTTTCTTGGAAAATGACGTCTCGAGGTCAGAGGTCATCCTGGTCAACAGCTGGGAAGGAAGATAAAGATATTCCACTCTGTTATAAAGGGGATGGAATCGATATGCTGGTCATCGTTGACCATTAAAGGTAATATAACGATAATGATTGTTATAAAAATGATGATGATATTACAGCAGATATATGATAAGGATAATGACGATATTACTGATATTCCTACTACGCTAATGATGATAATGTTAAAAAAATAATGATGTTGATAATGATGATAATGATAATGATAAATATGATAATGTGGCTTCAATTACTACTAGTAATAATGACTATAATAACAGTAATGCTAATAGTAATAAAGACAGTAGTAATGAGGTAGACAAATATAGAATAATGATAATGCAAATGATGATAGCAAAAATAGTAATAATAGTAGTGGGAATATTAGTAATATGATGATAATAATAATGATAATAATGATAGCAATACTTATTATCATATTATTATAATGATAACTATGGTGATAATGATAATAATGATAATAATGACAATAATAATAATAATAAAAAAATAATAATGATACAATAGTAACGATGTTAGTAATGATACTGATGATAATAATTATAATAATGATAGTGATGATAATCATTAAAACCATACTGTTACTACTGATAATTATGATAATGATAATTATAACAGTGATACTACTTAGGGTGATAATGATAATAATAATAATAACAATACTACTAATAATATTACTATTGATAATGATAATAATGGTATTGATAATAATAATCTTAATAATAATAATGATAATAGTAATAATAATGATAATAATGTTAATAGATGTGATAGTGATGATAATGATAATGATAATAGCAACAATGATGATCATGATAATAGTAATAATAATAATGATAGCTATCAGAGAACCATTCCTACGGACTTCAATTTTGTAATAATAATAATGATGATGATGCTAATAATAATAATGATAATAAAGATGATAATGATAATGATAGAATGTTGATCATAGTAATAATAATGATAGTGATGATAATGCACAGTATGTTATTATCAAAACATTAATATATCATTATCCTTATATCCTTTTTCTATAACAACAATCATGATAAGGAAAAAAAAATATATTATGGTAATCTACCTGATTATATCATTATATTATTATTGTTATTGTTATTATGATAATAATGCTAATAATAATGATAATAACAATGCTAATAATAATAATGATAATAATAATAATGATGATGATGATGGTGATGATAGTGATGATAAAATAATGATGATAAAATTATAATAATAATGATGATAACGATAATAATAATAAGGACAATTCCAGTAATAACAACAGCAATAATGGTAATGATACTATTACATGGAATAAAACAAAAATGATAATGGTGGTGAAGAAAATATTATTGATAATAAAATCACTGATAACACCGATGATATTAGTAATACAAATAATAATATTGATAATGGCAATACTAATAATGGTAATGTTGATAATGATAATAATGATGATAATAACGATAATGATAATAACAGCAACAATGATTATAGTAATGATGATGGTAATAATAATAATGGTGATATTGATACTAATATTAATTATAATGTTAAACATGATGATAATAACAATAATAGTAATAATAGTGATAATAATAATACTGATGNTTGCCGCAAAGAGGACGAGGAAGGGGGAGAAAATTATCCGACCTTTTCTTATTTGACCTCATTCTTTACTCGAGTCAAAGCGCTATGGGCGCCGCGGGAGTACGATCGAAACCTCCAGATGCATGCGCACTCCATTAAGGGTTCCTTGTCTTATTTAAGTCGGTTTACATCGAGATTAACACAGTCACGTCTGTAAGCACGCACACAGCCACCGCATGTACACATTACATACACACACACACACATAGAAGTACATACATGGGCGCCCACACAGATACAGACATCAGCGCACACACACAATTTGATATGGAATATCTTATCAATATAACTAATATTAGGCTGATCAAAGCTGGCTTATCTCTAAGAGAGAGAGAGAGAGAGAGAGAGAGAGAGAGAGAGAGAGAAGGATAGGAGAGAGAGAGAGAGGCGAGAGAGGAGAGAGAGAGAGAGAGAGAGAGAGAGAGCAGAGAGAGAGAGAGAGAGCAGACGAGAGAGAGAGAGAGAGAGAGAGAGAGAGAGAGAGAGAGAGGAGAGAGAGAGAGAGGAGAGAGAGAAGAGATGAAGAGAGAAAGAGAGAGAGAAAGAGAGAGAGAGAGAGGGAAGAGAGAGAGAAAGAGAGAGAGAGAGAGAGAGAGAGAGAGAGAGAGAGAGAGAGAGAGAGAGAGAGAGAGAGAGAAAGAGGGAAAGAGAAATGGATAAGGATAGAAGCGGAACAGAGCCAAGAGAGATGAGTAAAAGAGACAGCCATCCGTAAATCGTTAGAACAAAGAGCCCAGAAATAAAATAAAAACCAAAGAAAGAAAGAAAAAGCAAAGAAGAGTTAGAAGGAAATAATAAAAAAAGGAAAGAAGAAAAATAAAAGCACAAAGAGATAGATATATAATTCTCAGAGAGTAAAACAAGTGAAGGAGAAAACAAAGAGAGAAAGAAAAAAAATGAAAGAAAGGAACGAAAATTGAAAGACAAAACATAAAATGAACAGAAAAAAAAGAAAAGAAAAAACTCATCCTTTCTCTATATATAATCCTCCTTGGGAGAGAGAATACAAATATAATCCTCGTAAATTAAAAAGAGAAAGAGTGATAGAAGGAGATGAAAAATAAAAAAGAGGAAGAAAGACACAAACAAAGAGATGAAAGGGAAACAAGAAAAAAAAGAGTATGGGAAAATCCTCGCAAACGAAAAAAAGGACAGAGGAAAGGGAAATAAAGAAAGAGAAACAAGAATGGAAAGAAAGAGAGTATGGTAAGAGAATCCTCGTGCATGCAACACGGAAAGAAAGAGAAACGAGACAGGAGAGAAAGAAAGAAAAAGATGAAAGAAAACACGAGAAACAAAAGAAAAAAACGAGAAACAAGAAAGGAAAGAAAGAGATAGAAAGGACGAACGGAACAACAGGAAAATATAAAGAGAAACAAGAAAAGAAAGAAAGAAAAAGACGAAAGAGGAACAGAAAAAAAAATGGAGAAACAAGAAGGAAAGAAAGGGAGACGAAAGAGGAAAAGAGAAAAAAAGAAAAGAGAGAAACAAGAAGGAAAGAAAGAGAGAGACGAAAGAAGAAAGGGAGAACAGAAGAAGGGAAGAAAGGGAGACGAACGAGGAACCAGAAAAAAAAGAAAATAGAGAACCAAGGAAGGAAGAAAGGGAGACGAAAAAAGGAACAGAAAAAAAGAAAATGGAGAACAAGAAGGGAGAAAGAAAGAACGAAGAAGAACAGAAAAAAGAAAAGGGAGAAAGAAGAAGAAAGAAAGATAGCCGAAGAGGACAGAAAAAAAAGAAAATGGAGAAAGAAAGGGGAAAGAGAGAGGACGAAAGAGGAACAGAAAAAGAAAAAGGAGAAAGAAGAGGGAAAGAAAGGGGAGACGAAGAGGAGCAGAGAAAAAAGGAGAAAGAAAAAGGAGAAAGAAGAAGGGAAGAAGGGGAGACGAACGAGGAGCAGGAGGGCGCGCGAGGCCCCCGCAGCCGCCCTTACCTCCTTCGGCGAGAGAATGGAAATGTAATCCTCGTAGATGAGCCTGGCCTTCTCCTCGATCACAGCTGGGTTGTTCTCCACCTTGAGGTCCTCGCACGCTTGCCAGAACAGAATGTTCTCCTCCGAGTACTCGCACTTGAGGAAGTCCCGGAACGCTTGACGTCCGCCTGGGAAGGAGACGGGCCGGTCAGGGCGGGGGGGGGGGGGTGTCAGTGTTCATGCTTTGTTACGTGTTGTGTATTGTGTTGTTTTTATTTCATCATTGTCATTACTGGTGGTACTACTATCATTACTGCTACTTCTACTATTACTACTACAACTACTATCACTACTACTACTACCACCACCACTATCACTGCTACTACTACTATCAGTGCTAGTAATATCACACCTTGGTGTTACACATATGTATGCACTTATAGCATAGTTGTATTCCTTCACTAGAACAAGTTTACCTTCACCAAATCAATTATAAGAACGTTGGATCTCGAATTAGAGCAGAAAGTGAGTCACCTTCCTCATTTCGCTGATTTGCGAGAGCTAATGATAGTTTTGCAAGGAAGGGGAAGTCGGGTCAGGAGGTCAACATGAAGCGGCGATAAGGACAGCGGGGTCGAGGGCGGCAGAGGAGGTCTTGGCGAGAATGGAAACACGTGCTTGGAATATGAAGTTCAGTCGTGGGTGAAAAAGCAAACAACAACAAACGAAAAGACGAAAAGAATAAGAAAGGAAACCCGTCCATGAGAAAGGAAATGATAAGTGCGTGACATTTCAAGCCGTCTTGGCTGTTTCGTCACACGCACACGCGAACCCTCACGCGCCTCTACGTACACAGTCATACAACGTGTGTATTCATCTAAACATCTACTTAATATATTAACACATACATCCATTATATACATATGAAATATGAATCTTTTCTCTCTCTCTCTCTCTCTTCTCCTCTTCTTCTCTCTCTCTCCTCTCCTCTCTCTCTCTCTCTCTCTCTCTCTCTCTCTCTCTCTCTCTCTCTCTCTCTTCTCTTCTATCTATATTATATATATATATATATATATAATATTATATATATATATATATGTGTGTGTGTGTGTGTGTGTGTGTGTGTGTGTGCTTGTGTTGTGTCTGTGTGTGTGTGATCTCGTCATGTATTTACACACACACACACACCACACACACATACACACACACACACACACACACACACACACACACACACACACACACAACACACACACACACACACACACACAACGGACCTATACTACGAAACTGCTATACACAGCTATATACTATATACTAATATATATACAAATAGTATTATATATATATTAATATAAACTTATATTAAATATTATATATTATATAGAGAGACGGAGAGATGAGAGAGCATGAGCAAGAAGCGAGAGAGAGATAGAGAGAGAGATGAGAGAGCCAGAAAGAGAGAGAAAGACGATAAGAGAGAAGAGAATGACGAGGAGAAAGAGACAAAGGGAGAGGAGAGCACTCGATGAAGAGATGGCGATGAGCAGAATGGAGAGAGATGAGAGAGAGAGATGAGAGAGAGAAGAAGAGAGAGAGAGATGAGAGAGAGAAAGAAGAGAGAGAGAGAGACGAGCAGTAGAACAGAGAGAGAGAGAGAGCAGAGATTGAGAGAGAGGCCAGACAAGAGCAGAGAGATTAGGAGACTACAGACAGACAAAGAAAGAGAGCCAGCTTCCGGCGCAGCCACGCCATTCCAACCTCTCCGCCCCCTCAGCACAAGCGCCGAGGAATTGCCGCCGAAGCCTCGCCGTGGTGGCATCCGAGCGCGCAACCCTAGCGCTGCTGGTGTCGCGAATTGCTCAGGCAAAAGCCTGGGTAACGATAGATAAGCGTGCGTCACGAGCCGCTGGGGAGGGGCGGCGGGTGCAGTGGATTAGGGGGGGGGGGCCGACGCGGATATTACAGACATATGTGTATGATGTATGATGGCCTTACACTAAGCCTACATACAGACACACACAGTGCCAATAGCAACTACATACATACATACCATACATATATTTATATATATACCTTAATATACTATATATATATTATAATATATCATATATACATATATAGTATATATATACATATACTATCATATATATATATTATAATTATATAGCTATGCTATTATTATATGCTATATAGTATATATATACTATATATTATATACTTGTAAATATACTCTACTATACTAGTTAATCTATATATGCATTGCGTTATATTATATGCTTATATAACTATATACCTCTATTATCATATACTATATATGATTATATACCGTAATTATTTTTTAAATATACTCAGATATGATATTATATGTATTTGAATTACCTATATATTGTATATGCTATATGGTATACATATATTATATGTATATATATATGCCTACTTATATATACATAATATAAGCCTATATATACTATATTATATATATACCTATACGTACTTAATCCCACCTATTTATATACTACCTACATATACCTTTATTAGTATATATATTCATACTACTCTACTATCGTATATCATCTAGTCTATCTCTATATTATTTACTTACTTAGCTATAAATATTAATATTATACATATATATTATGTATGTATGGCTATACTATAAATGTCTCACATCCATAAATACTTAAT